GAGAGAGAGAGAGAGAGAGAGAGAGAGAGAGAGAGAGAGAGAGAGAGAGAGAGAGAGAGAGAGAGAGAGAGAGAGAGAGAGCAGCAAGTAATATTGGCATTTGACAGTCTACGCTTCTTACCAGTTTTGTTATTTAAACTTTCCAAGCTGATAGTGTTGTTGAAAGGTTATGATCTGGCACGTGCAATTGCTGGTTCCCATAAAGGTTTGGCTCCTGACGGTGTGACTGGCATTTGTTAACTGTGGATTTCGTTCCTTTCTTTTAATTTTCTGTTTCTTCCTCAGATATTGCGAAACATCTTCGATTAGGTTTTCGGGATATGGACATGCTCAACCAATTCCACCATTTGTTCTGGATGGGGGACCTCAATTACCGTCTCGGTTATCCGACGGAAGCGGACGAAGGTTATCCCACGACTCCAAGGTAATTCATAATTACGGATAGCTACCAGTAATTAAGAAATTGCGAGTAACTCCTAAACAAAGTGGCATAGTAGTGTGTGGACAGCAGTGGGACAAATCCTGTGCTGGTTAGACAGCTTTCTTTTTTTTTTTTTTTTTTTTTTTTTTTTAAACAGCTTTCTCATCTCCTCAGCAATGTTCTGAATGCTTTTTTTGGTGAAAGAAAAAAAAGTCGAAATCTTTGGAACTACAACAGTCCAGGGTAGGACTGGAATGTGCTGCGGCGGATAGGTGCTCCGGGGTTTGAGACATCGATCATCAAAAGGTCCTGGGAATCCCACAGTCGCCGGCAGAGTTCGATGCTGCAGTTGGAGGAGGACGGGAATGTGCTGCAGAATCTTCGGGACCACCAACCAATTAGTCCCAAGTCTTCGGGACCACCTGGTTACTCCCGAGTCCTGTAATACCAACGAGGACTGGAATCTGCAGCGGATAGGTGCCCGGGGATCCCACAGTCGCCGGCGGGAGTTCGATGCTGCAGTTGGAGGAGGACAGGAATGTGCTGCAGAGCCTTTGGGACCACCAACCAATTAGTCCCAAGTCTTCAGGACCACCTGGTTAATTCCGAGTCCCATAATACCAAAGAGGACTGGAATCTGCAGCGGATAGGTGCTCGTTACATTAATCCCACAGTCGCCAGCGTGAGGCCAGGGCTGCCGTTGGAGGACAGGAATGTGCTCCAGAATCTTTGGGACCACCACCCAATTAGTATTCGCCGGACCAAACCAATTACTCCCAAGTCTTTGGAAGCACCCAGTGAGTCCCAATTCTCCCATAAAACCAAAGAGTCATGAAGAAACCTTGGCTCTTCGGTGAATTCTTGAGGGCGCCTTGTCGAGACAATGCTTCATTTGACAAAACAAACGTAAGTTCGATGTACTCAGTAATGAGCTCAGCTAGGAGCTCAGTAATGCAGTGAGTCTGGTGTTCAGTGTTGTACTCAGTAATGTGCTGGCTCTGCTCAGTGTTGTGCTTGGTGACGGTCTCTGTAAAGTGTTCTCTAAACCAGCAGTACGTGTCAGAGGTGGACGGGGTTAACAACTTGACACACAGGCGGTTTTGTGTGGATGTACCGGCCTGCCTGAACCCAGTCAGATTCATTCATGCTGAAAAAAGAATGTCAGAAGTGCGCTTAGCTCGGAAATGTACTGGTGGTTAAATATGGGTTCGGTGATGTGCTCAGTAACGCTGTCAACGATATGTGCCCAGTGTCGTGCTGAGTCTGGTCTTTTTTTTTTTTTTTTTTTTTTTTTTTTTTGAAAAGGCCAATTCAGGCCCAAGCAATTCAATTACCTGTCAAATCTGGACAGGACGGCCTTTCAGGCCGTTTTATCATCATTAGATTATAGTATTTTGGGGAACCCCGTAGCAGCCAGCCCGAGCTCAAACCTACAATGAGGGAACATGTGGGGGCTGCACCCGACCTGCGGGTGGGCGACACCGGCCAGGGGTCAGCCGGTAGCATCAGGACCGAGCTGCTTCGATGGGCCAATCACTGTGCCTCGCCTCCGGTCCCCTCCCTGTACGAACATCAAAAGTCTCTGCTTAATGCCGCTCGGGGGGACCAACGGCCTATTTCTAGGTGGCAGGCACCAAGCATGCCCAGGAAGGTTCATGACACCAATGGGGATTGAACCCGAGACCTCCTGAATGCCACTTGTGTGCCTTACCAACTGACCTAGGCCAGTGGATAGTCTCTGCTTATCATCATGCTCACTACGTTTCTTACTCTGCTGCTGATCAGGGGTCCTTCGGGCGAACGGAACAAAGCATGAGTGTGTAAGAGACTATCTCGGAATCTCCTTTTTTTTTTTTTTTTTTTTGGCCCCCTGAACAGCCGTCTGGTCTATTGGTGGAGGGCGTCACCTGCCTGGAAGCGGGCCTGGCGTCCCTTGAGGAAACATACATGGACACCACACTCTACCCCCGGGGAGAGCACTGTCAGTATTAATTGCTCCCCCCCGTCCAAGGATTAACTGATAGATATGCAATGTGCCCAGTCGTGATAATCCGTCGTCAATCACAAAGACAAAGTAGACGAACGCTGTTGATAAATCGTGATAATAATGATCCCCAAAATGAGAGAGAATACATACACAAACGAGAGAGGGAGGAGGGAGAATAGACTTTGAGA